TTTTAATAAATTAAAAACAAATAAATCCTCTAATCTATGATGTATTCTGTCATCTACATTCTGGAGAGGGCTAAGTGGTCCTGCCTGATAAGAGATAATTTTGACTTGCATACAGTTTACTCTGGTATCAATGAAATACGTTGAAATTTGTTGTCATTGTTATCAAATTCAGATTTAAAGCATATAAAACCTTATATAAGAATTTCAACAGAGTTAAAAATTACAATATTTTTTATATTACTTATTTCAAAACAATTATTTATTTTCAACTAATCATCTAAACTAAATTTCTATTTTCATTTCAATACTCTTTTGATATTCGTTAGAGATAAGAAGTCTCATGGCACATCAGATGTTTATTTTGTCATAAAATGAGAAATATTGAACAATGAGTACAGTTGAACTTCGTTATTCTGCCATCATTTTTCACCAAAAACGTTACCGTTATAAAGGGGTTGGTTATGTTTCGAAGGAGACGTATTAAGAAATGTTAAGAAGAAACAAAAGGGGACCTTGAAAACTGTTGGTGGTTATTGAGTTGGTACAAAGGTTTTAGGTTAACAAAATTGAGGTAAAATAATTCCAGTTGGTTTGTTTGAACTTAAGCTACAAAAAGTTGTTTTATATTGTTTGGCGAGAAATTGAGTTTATCAAGTATTAAGTTGTTTGCTTTGTTTATGTATGCTTTGTTTATGTATGCTTTGTATGCTTTGTTTATGTATGCTTTGTTTATGTATGCTTTGTTTATGTATGCTTTGTATGCTTTGTTTATGTATGCTTTGTTTATGTATGCTTTATGTATGTTTTGACATTATGGTGCGTTGTCGTTATTGTGTAGGCGCAAAGATAATTTTCAAAAGAATTGATTCCTTTAATTTGTCTGTAGCATTTCAATGTATCCTAATCTACACTTAATAACGAATAAAATCTGCTCTGGAATGCAAAAGACGTTTCATCTAATGAGTAAATTAAGTATCTCCACACAAAAATTATATTACAAATAATAATAAAAAAAATTAAAAGGAAAATTGCAAAAATATGATTTCATGAGTCGACATACACACAGACAAATTAGTGAGGATACTGGTTGTTGGAGATGAGAGTTGTTGATCAACTCCAGTCGGGAAAATCGTGTATTTTTCTTACACACGCAAAACTTTGAATTTTCTGTAAAAGTAACTGTAAATGTTTATTCTTTATATGCAAACACGTCATTAGAACATTTTTGTCTCATTATTAATGCAACTCGGATAACGCTACCTTTAAAAATAATATTAATACCATCGTCAATAGAAACAATTATATAATCATTACCATTCCCCACTTATTGCTGTTATTATGATAAATTTTGTTTGCTCAAAGAGCGGGAGCGACGTACTAAGAACGGACTAGATAGCTGGAATAGTTGTCATAAAAAAATATGATTTATGATACAGAAAATTAAATAAACACCACGACTCTGAACAAAACATCTACATTTTATCTCGTGCTTTCTTATAATGGTAAACAAGTACAACAGACCACAACAATAGCAATTATCTAAATAAATGTTATTTCAATTTAATTATCTTTTTACACTTGAACTATCGGTCACCTGCTAGCGCTTATCATTGCACGTGAAATCAAATGTCTTGCACTTGACTTGGTCTACGAGCTATATTGCCCGAGGTAGATGACGAATGCTATCAGAAAGAAACTTTAATAAAAGACTTTGTTTAAAAGATCATGTTTTACAAACTAGATTTTTCGGAATGATAAATGAAAAATACATCTGTTCGACAAAGCACAATGCTATGGCCAATATTGGCCTTCTATTGGTAGAGGCAGGGTCATTGGAGACCTGTTAATTAATGACAAGTCGGATACCACGGGGAGGACAGGGATTGTAGGGCGCACGCTCCTCGTCTCGCATTTTAACAGGGTTCATTAATTCGGGAAATTCATTCGTAGGAGGTGTCCCTGTGTTATAATGAGAGACACAAATCTGCTTCTTCTTTTCTATTTGGCTAAAGGTGATTATTTCACAGATCACGAAATAATCAAAACCCCTCAAGTTGAATCTAATTCGAGAGTATTACAGACCAATGATCGTCTTTTGTACAAATGTCAACTCAATTTATCAGTAAAGCGTTTCCTTGTATCAGAATCAAACGTTTTGATGATATAACAAACCACATTTCTTTCATATGAATGCAATCGTTTCAAACGCTCTAATGATGCAGCATAATGGAATAAACCGGACATCCGGGGGCTATGAAAAATATCTTCGTATGAGAAAACCAGAAATGCGTTGAGACATTTCAATTAAAAATGGTAAAGACTGTTTGTTTTGTCAATCTAATGTCCATTTTATAGACAAGCTTATTCATTTATTTCTATAAAACATAGCAATATAATTATTTATATTCAATTAGGAAATTAAGTTTGTTGTAATAGCATTTGTTTATGATTAAAAATAAGAGTTTGTTGTTTTGTTGAATATCTAAAATGCAAATAAATTTAATGTATTGCATAGCTAATACATCAGACGAATATCCTAAAAAAAATATACTAAAATTAACAATATAGATATTTCTTTTCATGGCAAAGCCATGAAACATAACAAAAACATCAGAAGATAGAACATTATCAGGCTGTTTAAATAAATATGACCTAATGATTTTATAAAAACAAATTGATTTTTTGATACATACAAGTGTATGCATCCAAACTACTTCATTGCCATCCACCACCACATTTGACAGTGATGTTCCACATCAAATTACATTGCATCGTGCAATACCAAATATACATTATATATTTCAAAAGGAATTATCAACACTTATGCAGGAAATTGTGTGAATGCCTCCTTAATCTGTGGGTAATATTATCCAATCAGACACGACGAGATAAACCGTATGAGCCGTTCATCACGTCATAACGACCTTCTCGCTTGTCACATATCATCCGTGACCATGCCATAATTACGGGGAGGGCATTTTCATTATTTGTAATTAGTGAATCGAATAGATGTCTATTCAATCCTTTTCATGTGGAACTGTTAAGCCAAGGCTAGGATTAAGTACAGATCACATGTAAGGCACACTCGACGTTATGTCGTGTTCAGTCAACCGTAAAATACCTCAAACCACCGACGTACACCCCGCCTCTTTAACAGAGACAGATTAAACAACCGCAATTAGCCTAACCATATCTGACTGAGCTAGCTTCATTACATAAAACTAGAGACGTTTCAATTAAATGGGGTTTAAAGATGAAGTGAATGGTTAGCTTTCTTCTAATCACGTGTAAAGTAGTTGTAGTAGTAGAATACGATTTCTAGGTAAAATAATCGTATGAACCAATGAAACATATCTTTCTCTTTCTATTTATAAACAAAATGATAATAAGAAAAAAAGAGATGTTTAACTTGTTTTATACAGTGATTATTTAACAATTATCATTTGAACATCGAATCCTGTTAAACAAATAACAATATACTTGTAGTTGAGTTTATTTGTCAGCTTGAATTAACAAGTGCAGCCTTTGTGTGCGTTACTATGTTTTGTTTGTACCTTGATGAGAGTGTAGATATTAGTAGTGGTGTAAAGGGATGGCACGTATCACACGTTTTGTTGAACGATATAAATATATATATAGTTACGGATTGTAAGTGTATTCAAATAGTTATGGTTGTGATGTTTTTTTTATACAATAAAGATAATTCGATTCACAGTTAATAAATCACTGTTTTGTGGGAACAATCTACTTGTGAGTGTACAATGTAATTCATAAAGTAAAATTTCGTTTCAATGTAAAATTCATTTAATGTAAGTATTTGTTTTAAAAATGTAAGCATACCTATCATCTTCGTTTATAATACCTATGATGAAATGTCCTATTGACATACATTCAAAACCCAGTGTACTAGGTTGCTGAAGTAATCGTTAATCGTTCTTTAATGACGTCTAAAGAGCGCTTCATTAAAGCTTATTCTCGAATTAATTGATAATTTGATTTTTGAAATCTCACAAAGGGAATTAAAACTACAGGGAAAATATCACCTTATCAAATTAAACATTGATATTGCTTCAACCCATCAGATATAGATCTGTGATTAAACTGCACGGGACAAAATTACGACCAGTAACAATGTAGGAGTACAGGAGTAGCAGGCAAGGAACGAGAATGGAGTATACTTATCATTCTCTACTTATCTATGGTATAATGCTTGATGGCAAAGTTATTAACATAAACATACGTATAATCATTACTTACACGTGTGTACATGCTACAAGTTATCAGTTTAAATTTAGATGACGCAAGGACAAAAATACATCAATATGAAACTTCTGATGTATATTTGCTATTTCTTTAGGTTTATGGTAATAATGATCTAAAAATTATAATAAAAAAAAACATGCTAAAACAAATTTCTCTTGTAAATTTCCAGAAGTAGTTATAACTGAAATTAAATAAATAAATAAAAACAGATATGGAATATTTTATTGTTGATATTATATTGATATACGGTATTATACTATATAAAGTCCACATAATGCAAATAGATAAAACAAATCACAGTGATAATAGAATAATGAAACTGTTAATAAATTAAGATTAATAGAAAATCAAAGTGTTATGATGTTAGCAAACACACACAAGGTGTCTGCCGTTACAACGAATCTCCCACCGTTTAAAGTCCGTCATAATTAATTCTTCAACAGTACAACAACGGCCGCTTTGGGTTCTTTACCTTTAAATATCGAGAACATTACGTGTACCTCTGTTTGCTTTCCCTTTATCAAATTTCTGTTACCTGTATGCTCATACAATAAAAACTGATTTGTTTACAACACAAGCTAAGCGACCAATCCGCTGGCCACAAAAATGATATTTGGGTGAAAGGCAATCGGAATTGTAAACAAATTATGGTGGGTGGGCGGGTCTTTACGCTCGAGCTGTCAGCCCATCATCCAACACCCCACCGCCAGACGACAGACTCCATATGTGTCGTCCCTCTAATCAATAGCGAACGTAATTGACACAAGTGAAAAGTTGAGGTTCTTTTAGAAGACCTCAGTCTATGACAAGAAAGGGTATAGAGCGGAGGTGGTCTTGTCACAAACTTGAATAATCTTAACAGGAATACTATTGCTGATTATGACTGAAACTCGGTATCATTAACACTATCTATTATAAAGTATATATTTTTGACATTCTAATAAGTTTATATTCTCAATACGTATACAATGAGTTCGGATGATGAGAAAAGTGATGGAGCGAGCGGAATGTTCATGCGAGCAGCAGATAGATACCCGAGGACACCAAAATGTGCCCGATGTCGGAACCACGGAGTGGTATCCGCACTCAAGGGTCACAAGCGGTACTGTCGATGGAGAGACTGTGTGTGCGCCAAATGCACCCTGATTGCAGAAAGACAACGCGTGATGGCGGCACAAGTAGCGCTTCGGCGTCAACAAGCGCAAGAGGAGAATGAAGCTCGCGAGCTTGGGATGCTGTATGGACAAAGTGGACTACTTCAGATCAACCCCGAAACCGTCAGCATGTTTCCTGAGGCCAAACAATACTTAGATACTAGCAAGGTCAGAGAGGCTCCGGACGACTATCCTGGTACGTAAAAATGTTTATGATGTTTAAACAGCGTTGTTAACATGGCATTGTCCACGTTAATATCGTCAGTTACAATGTTTACTAAGTTTTGGATTTATTATGAGCCTAAATGCTTTACTCTTATATGTCATACTTTCTGTCATTAATAAAAAAAAGATAATAATCAACTGATCAGATTATTCCATTGGAAAGCATTTTGTTTTTGTGTCTTATTGATGAACAAGGTTTATGATTTTTTTTTTTTAGCTCAACGTAACTAAGATAAGAATAACAATCAGGACACTCAAACCCTCCTAGTTACCTATATACTCGTCGTATGCTCAAAGCAACTTGGGATTTTGTTTACATTTGTTGATTGTAGGTTAATTATTTAAAATATTGTCATTTTAGTGAAAGCATAGACCAAATTTTATGAGGATAAAAAGGAACATGAAAGTAACGAAGAAAATTATTACCTGTAACATTGAATAAAAGAACATACAAAACACAACAGACTCCCGTATTAGGTTTAAGTGTACTTGCCTGTCGTTAACTTACCAATCCCCAATGTCAGACATAGCGGGGAGATTTCCTGTTAGATAGGCCCAGTTTATATTGTCATTGTTCAGGACAAACGCTCAGGTTTCTCCTCTTATCGCTCTTATTTGTAAAAAACATAAATTTTGCATTGCAACTTTTTTCAAAATCATTAAACTTGATACAGATGACCTTACCTGTCTTGAGTGTCAAATACAAATGAACGCGGTAGCCTTCATGATGATAATCTGTAGGAAAATCCGGGATATAAGGGGATGCTGTACGTGTTAATTATTCAAATCCAGACGATTATGGTAATGTGTGGGAATTATATTTTAAATAATAAAAATCAGATTGGGTTTAAATGTACGTCGCATGGCAAAGTTGTTTGTGACATGTTTTAAATATGTACTGATAATACACTACGTAACCGGGTGTACGTTGATCATTTATTTATCTATGATAGAAGGAACAATTGTACCATCTTCTCTATGATCAGTATTGTGTTAATTACAAAACTTTGTTTTGAAGGTGTACGTACATAAACTGTATACCAAGCTAAGGACGTTATTTATACAGCAACTTGATTAACAAATATAATTTACCCGTTTTCATAGACTTAAAAAAAAAAATCAATCTTAATTCCGGATGAGTTTCTTCTCTCATTTTTTTCTGATAACAAAGCGATATTTTCAAAAAATCTTTCTTTGTTCCTTTGATACTCATAGAATGAAAGGTGAGAAATTAAAATTAAATTTAAAATTGCCATAACATAACCAAATTTTAGTTTAGTTATTTTAAATTGATCATAGTCACCTACATTTGACGTTATTTTTTTTTTCCAAATCCAAACAAATGATGATTTAAAAAATATTAAATAAATAAAGGAAAAGTTACAGTTATTGACGAATAATACAGCTGCTGAATATTTCGTTAATCATTGGTTATTTTATTGTTTCAATAAATTTGGTTGAATATTAATTTATTATTTATAAATTACTTTTCATTGATAATTTGTTTGTTTGAGGTCTTTTCAATAATTGATTTATTGTTGAATATTTTACACGTTTTGTAAATATTGAATATGAAAATAACACCCATAGTTAGATGATAGGAACGATATCACAGTGAAGTATTAATAAATAATAAATTGTATATTATAACAGAAAATAGAATATACAAGGACATTTATCCAGTTAAACGCAATAAAATTTACTACACAATATGAAATAAACCGAAGTGATCTATTATGAAAATAATCAACATTGTTTTCCTTTCGATTCAGAACACACTTACATATCTCACAAGACGTTTTAACAAAATGAAACACATTTCTATGTGTTTGTGAATAACATATTCTACAAGAGATCATTTCAACTTAAAACCAATTATATTTTCTCAACAACCTATTCTCGCGTGCTAACAATGCAATCAATGCATCAGGCTCGAGATGAAAAAGTTCTTTGAATATTTTAGAACGAAGTGTTTCACTGAATCATGTTGCCTTTGCGTTTGAGTTTGACATGATAAGAACTTGACGATAAAAAGAATAGGAAACCATGATATAAGATATTAGTACTTCACTTGTCGCTCTTGTTACTTAATAGCCATTGGAGTTAAAAATATAGGTAGAACAGTTTTAGATAGACACAGTTATAAACTATAGTTAAAGTTCCTCACAAACTGCTACATATTATGATTTATGGAGAAATGTCAGATTGAAGGCCGCCCTGAAATATGATACCCCCTGTATATAACCTTATACACTAGTCGTACACCGAGTGCAGTGTTGACATTCTTGTATCTCATTAAAGTAGAGGAATTATCACTGTATTTCACAGTCATTCTCCAGTCAAAGGATAAATGTTTTGAACTAAATAAATGTTTCTAAACATGTCTAAATACCCTGTGTAGACAGCATGGCTCGATTTGACTTTCTACTTGGCTAATCATTGGTTGTCTCCGTACTACCGGGTTGGTGGGAATTTAGACCCCCTTTTCCTTGATTCGATGATTAAATCCCCCGTCTTGTATACTTTAACAAGATTGTAACGGTTTTTGCCTTCTGTACAAATTGAATCTGACTTTATAACGGCTCAGAACACTTTCATAGAGGTTCAGTCCTTATTGACATCTATCACAACGGGGCACATCAGTTCAAATGTTCATACTATAATTGATAGCTTGGTCCTTTTACTGGGAACATAAGCAGGTAACTGCGTCCGCTTGGCCAAGAGTAAATAGTCCGCGGTCATCGTGATCAGACGACGGATAAACTGTCTTTCTTCTACCGTGAACTAGCTCAGCAAGACTTCAGATTTATCAGAAGTTTTGTTATTTAAATTAAAATGCCACATATTCCTTTTTTGGTGCATGCCTATCGCTATCGTAAATAGTAAAACAAAACGTAATTCAACTAAAACATAACTTTTACTTCAATGTTAACATACGAATATCGATTTTGAATAAAACAAAGTAGGTGTTTGATTATAGATTACGAAGATGCGTTAAAATTACATTACCTACAAATTTGGAGCTACATTCATTAAAATGAAATATCATCATTCACAAACCAGGACTACTTCATATAATTACAAATTAGAATAAGTCAGGCATATTGATACAAAAAGAAAGTAATATTTAGGGATATAAAAAAATTAAATAACGAATATGTGAGAAAATTATATCACACAACATAATTCCCTGAATATCATTGATAAAAATAAAGAAAAAGTGGTATTGTGTTTATTTGGATTGCTGATGAAAAGTAGCGTGATAGCAGACAGCAATGCACACGTAATTTAATCGATCATTTGTATCATTCACAGCATCTAAAAAGCAGAAGCTTGAAGATCCTAGGGAAGAGTTCCAACTGGACGCTGCTCGCCCGGACTCTCGATCCTCTACACCAGAGGGAGTAGACCGCCCTAGGTCTCCGGCTGACTCTGCCGGATCCCCAGAACCATCTCCAAGGTCATGTGACCCTCCAAGCCCAAGAAGTCCCGCCTCCAAATCTGACTCTAAATCTCCGTTTGACGAGAGCACCCTCGCGCACTACGGCGGAAACAAACGTCAGCCGATCGAGATGCTGTCACGCATCTTCCCTCACATGAAGCGAAGCGTGCTTCAGCTGATTCTACAGGGCTGTGGCGGTGACGTTGTACAGTGTATAGAGCAAATTCTCAACAGCCATGGCGATGCAAACGTAATGTCCTCAGCTTTCTCCGGAAGTCCTTTAATTACTCCTCATGGTTTATCCAATCCACTCGGTGGCCCATCTCTTAAGTCAGCATTTTCTCCTATCGCCTCTTCCATTGCTAACGCCCATTCGTTGAACTCCATTCGTAACGCCTGGGGTAACATGAGCCGAGGACTGCTAGCTATGCCCTATCCACCAACATTTCCAGGTCTAACGCTGGGTGGTAATTACTCTGCCTACAGTGGACTCACGACGGACAGTGCATCTAAACCATTCCCATACGCAATGTACCCATGCTGTCCGACAAAACCTTTCACCGCTTCAGCCAGCGACAAGTCGGGATGCCTTGGTGAATGAGGGACACGATTGGGCGGACATCTTTAACTTGAAAGGGGTGCTGATTCAAATGGCGCCTGTAAGGACGGAGCCTGAGAATATGTCCCATAACTTTACTCTTGTCTCAAAGATAAAGGAACATTCTATATGCTCGTTGCGTAAACATTGAACAAGTGCGTATGTTGTGCTTGTCGAATGTACCAGAAGTGTTCAGCTCTTTCCGAAGATACAGACTCTTTTATTAGGAAGAGGTCCTACCGAAACACCACATGGAAGTCAGATGAACCTTTTATCGTTATTTCAAATACCGAAAGCACAGGTCTTTTTTGTGTAAAATCAACTAAAAGCTGGCACGAATATAGATTTAAGAAAGCTACCGAGGACTCGCAGATATGAACGAAAACAATTGAGGACTATCACACAAATAAATACGGAAAATGCCAAGAAATGACATGAAAATATAGGAATGCTACCGAGAGATATCATGTTCATGTATGGCAGTAACCGTGAACAGCCTGTACTTGTTCACGGAAGTACAAAAGGACTAGTGATAATGGCAACCCAAATGTCTCTTATTAAGACAATGATACAATTATGAGTATATTTATCAATAATGACTGAATCTGGAACATAGATTTGATGTGTATACATGTTTTATATAGCTATTTATTCCCATTATTTATAAATATGTAATACCAAATGCTGTAAGGAGGCAAAATGTATCATATTTGCATGTGTGGTCTTTATTATAAATGTTTGTGAAACTGAATCCAGAAAAAAACCATAAATATGATTCCACTTGATGTTAGTTAACACATGTACATCTAAAACACAGATTGACAATTGTGCAATACTAGTGTATGCTGATGTGACCCGAACATAAGTATTTATTATAATTTGAAGCATTAAGTCAATCACGTATCAAAGTCATGGTCACAAAGAAATTGTTGAGGTGAAATGTGTTACCATTGTATTGTATCATTGTTACAAGTCACGTTTATTTGTTCAATTGTAAAAACAAATGAAGTTATATTTTCCTGATTAAATTACTGAAGAAATGAAATGTAAGACGTGACGTTGTTTTGATTTTTATTATTACTTAAGGGAAAAACTAACCACAGTTGTCTTCGCAGTTTTTTCTTTAATATTTTGTCACTTGGTTTTCGATTGTGCTGTTATTTAATCTTTTCAGATATTAAATTAAAAAGTTTGTAATGTAAATAGCACCAATCGTCTTCTATGATGTTGCAGAGAAACTCTACATAAAATATACATTTTTGAAATATTTGGTAATTCAAAGAATTAGACTAGTCTATTATGAAATGTCAGGGTGAATGAGCTAATATCGTGCTCCGTTATTAGAGGTTATAGATTTATGAATCAACATGTTTTTAAAACAAAAACATTTGAATGACAGGATCTCTTTGTTTTGTGAAATTTGAAGATGCAGGTGATTTAGTTTGATTGGGACTGTGAAGAAGAAGTGTTTGAGAATATATTATTGAATCCGACCAAAGCAAAATTATCTAGTAAAATCAGAATAAACGTGAAATTTGAAGAAAACAGGTGAAATATGAAAAGGGATATTTAGGAATGTTTACCGTCAAAAACCTGCGGAACTGCTTGACAAAGACTGGTGATGTTCGTGGGACCGAAATATCGAAACAAATTTGCATTCGAATAATTTAGAAAACAGTATCGTTTTGTCTCTTATACGATATTTAGGAAGATATCCAAACGTTATAAGGATCGCGTAGACCGTGGCAGGCTTTGTGTGTGGGAAGGGACAGCTTTTCATTTCAAAAACCTTTCTTCTGGTGTTCCAAAATTCATATTATCTTTTTCATATGTGTCGCATTTAAATGTTGTGACTGTGTTGCTTTAATAAAAAACCTTGTTATTTGTTGGGGATCATGACATTTTTCTTTGTTTTAGTGTCTCCTCAGTTACTTTGTGTATTTCCTTTGTTTTAGTGTCTCCTCAGTTACTTTGTGTATTTCCTTTGTTTTAGGGTCTCCTCAGTTACTTTGTGTATTTCCTTTGTTTTAGTGTCTCCTCAGTTACTTTGTGTATTTCCTTTGTTTTAGTGTCTCCTCAGTTACTTTGTGTATTTCCTTTGTTTTAGTGTCTCCTCAGTTACTTTGTGTATTTCCTTTGTTTTAGTGTCTCCTCAGTTACTTTGTGTATTTCCTTTGTTTTAGTGTCTCCTCAGTTACTTTGTGTATTTCCTTTGTTTTAGTGTCTCCTCAGTTACTTTGTGTATTTCCTTTGTTTTAGTGTCTCCTCAGTTACTTTGTGTATTTCCTTTGTTTTAGTGTCTCCTCAGTTACTTTGTGTATTTCCTTTGTTTTAGTGTCTCCTCAGTTACTTTGTGTATTTCCTTTGTTTTAGTGTCTCCTCAGTTACTTTGTGTATTTCCTTTGTTTTAGTGTCTCCTCAGTTACTTTGTGTATTTCCTTTGTTTTAGTGTCTCCTCAGTTACTTTGTGTATTTCCTTTGTTTTAGTGTCTCCTCAGTTACTTTGTGTATTTCCTTTGTTTTAGTGTCTCCTCAGTTACTTTGTGTATTTTCTTTGTTTTAGTGTCTCCTCAGTTACTTTGTGTAATTCATTTGTTTTTGTGTCTCCTCAGTTACTTTGTGTATTTCCTTTGGTTTAGTGTCTCCTCAGTTACTTTGTGTATTTCCTTTGTTTTAGTGTCTCCTCAGTTACTTTGTGTATTTCCTTCGTTTTAGTGTCTCCTCAGTTACTTTGTGTGTTTCCTTTGTTTTAGTGTCTCCCCAGTTACTTTGTGTAATTCCTTTGTTTTCTTTGTTTTGGTGTCTCCTCAGTTACTTTGTGTATTTCCTTCGTTTTAGTGTCTCCTCAGTTAGTTTGTGTATTTCCTTTGTTTTAGGTTCTCCTCACGTACTTTGTGTATTTCCTTTGTTTTATTGTCTCCACAGTTACTTTGTGTAATTCCTTTGTTGTAGTTTCTCCTCGGTTACTTTGTGTATTTCCTTTGTTTTAGTGTCTCCACAGTTACTTTGTGTAATTCCTTTGTCTAAGTGTCTCCTCAGTTACTTTGTGTATTTCCTTTGTTTTAGTGTCTCCCCAGTTACTTTGTGTAATTCCTTTGTTTTAGTTTCTCCTCAGTTACTTTGTGTATTTCCTTTGTTTGAGTGTCTCCTCAGTTTCTTTGTATATTTCCTTTGTTTTTGTTTCTCCTCAGTTACTTTGCATATTTCCTTTGTTTTAGGGTCTCCTCAGTTACTTTTTGTATTTTCTTTGTTTTAGGGTCTCCTCAGTTACTTTGTGTATTTCCTTTGTTTGAGTGTCTCCTCAGTTACTTTGTATATTTCCTTTGTTTTTGTGTCTCCTCAGTTACTTTGTGTATTTCCTTTGTTTTAGTGTCTCCTCAGTTACTTTGTGTATTTCCCTTGTTTTTGTGTCTCCTCAGTTACTTTGTGTTTTTCCTTTGTTTTTGTGTCTCCTCAGTTACTTTGTGTATTTCCTTTGTTTTAGGGTCTCCTCAGTTCCTTTGTGTATTTCCTTTGTTTTAATGTCTCCTCAGTTACTTTGTATATTTCCGTTGTTTTAGGGTCTCCTCAGTTACTTTGTTTATTCCCTTTGTTTTAGGGTCTCCTCAGTTACTTTGTATATTTCCTTTGTTTTAGGGTCTCCTCAGTTACTTTGTTTATTTCCTTTGTTTTAGGGTCTCCTCAGTTACTTTGTGTATTTCCTTTGTTTTAGTGTCTCCTCAGTTACTTCGTGTATTTCCTTTGTTTTAGTGTCTCCTCAGTTACTTTGTGGATTTCCTTTGTTTTAGTGTCTCCTCAGTTACTTTGTGGATTTCCTTTGTTTTAGTGTCTCCTCAGTTACTTTGTGGATTTCCTTTGTTTTAGTGTCTCCTCAGTTACTTCGTGTATTTCCTTTGTTTTAGTGTCTCCTCAGTTACTTTGTGGATTTCCTTTGTTTTAGTGTCTCCTCAGTTACTTTGTGGATTTCCTTTGTTTTAGGGTCTCCTCAGTTACTTTGTGTATTTCCTTTGTTTTAGGGTCTCCTCAGTAACTTTGTGTATTTTCTTTGTTTTAGTTTCTCCTCAGTTACTTTGTGTATATCCTTTGTTTTAGTTTCTCCTCGGTTACTTTGTATATTTCCGTCGTTATGGTGTCTCCTCAGTTCGTAAAGTTTCTTACCGTTTGGTTCGGTCTTTCCTTTTGGATTTGTAATTAATAATAATTCAACAATTCTAGCACTGCCCAACCACGTACTCATTTACTGCTGAGTAGACTGGAACAAACGGAATAAAGTCTATCGCTCAAAGAAACAACACAGTGCTGTGCCGTGACTCGAACACGAAACCCTTCGGTCACGAGCCCGGCGTCCTACCACTACCACATTTGTTCATGTTGTTTTCTTTTGTTTCGGTGTCTCATTGCCTGTTGGTGTATTTTCGTACTCATGTATGCTTTTGTGTGCTATTGTTTTGTTTTGATTTATCTTCTTCTTTTTTTTTTGACAATATAGTTCAATATGAGAGAATACAATTCTTGAATAGTCCATGTCAGCTGTGTCCGAACGTTTCCTTTATTTTGGTGTTGCATCGGTCCTTTCCGGTTCATCCTGATTAGTTGTCGCTGTGGGATATCTTGTTATTATTTAGCTGAAGCTTTGATGTGTTTCGTGGGTGTGTATTGAAGCTTTAATATATATTCCCCTTTCTGTTGATGTTGTGATATTGTTTGTTGATGGTACAACATATTTGGTCTTTTTATGTTGACGTTGAGGTAACTATTTCAGGGATGAACGTTTTGTCAGTAAAACACATATTGAGACAGTACAATCATGACATACTGACGCAAACACAAAAAACAATGCACGCTACTATGGTTAGTGACATTGGTGAGGCGGTATTAAGTGACAATATTGTTATTAAATTTAACAACATTCTGGGGACATTTAGGGCTCCTGACGTCATTAACAACATTCTGGGGACATTTAGGGCTCGTGACGTCATTAACAACATTCTGGGGACATTTAGGGCTCCTGAAGTCTTTAACAACATTTTTGGGACATTTAGGGCTCCTGAAGTCATTAACAACATTATGGGGACATTTAGGGCTCCTGACGTCATTAACAACATTCTGGGGACATTTAGGGCTCCTGAAGTCATTAACAACATTTTTGGGCCATTTAGGGCTCCTGACGTCATTAACAACATTTTTGGGACATTTAGGGCTCCTGAAGTCATTAACAACATTATGGGGACATTTAGGGCTCCTGACGTCATTAACAACACTATCCGGGCTTAAAATACAATAAAAAAATTGTCGAAAATTCAAGTAATAGGGTCACAATCAATTTGTATTAACCAATCATGTTACATCTCAAATGAATTATATTTTGTGGTATTTTGTTGGCGTTGTTAGTATATTTTGTGGTATTTTGTTGGCGTTGTTAATATATTTTGTGGTATTTTGTTGGCGTTCTTAGTATATATTGTGGTATTTTGTTGGCGTTGTTAGTATATTTTATGGTATATTGTTTGCGTTGTTAGTATATTTTATGGTATTTTGTTGGCGTTGTTGGTATATTTTGTGGTATTTTTTTGGCGTTGTTAGTATATTTTGTGGCATTTTGTTGGCGTTGTTAGTTTATTTTGTGGTATTTTGTTGGCGTTGTTAGTATATTTTGTGGTAATTTGTTGGCGTTGTTAGTATATTTTGTCCGTTTGAGTTTAGGTTCAGGATTTATTTTGTCCGTTTGAGTTTAGGTTCAGGGTATAGTTTGTCCGTTTGAGTTTAGGTTCAGGGTATAGTTTGTCCGTTTGAGTTTAGGTTCAGGGTATAGTTTGTCCGTTTGAGTTTAGGTTCAGGGTATAGTTTGTCCGTTTGAGTTTAGGTTCAGGGTATAGTTTGTCCGTTTGAGTTTAGGTTCAGGGTATAGTTTGTCCGTTTGAGTTTAGGTTCAGGGTATAGTTTGTCCGTTTGAGTTTAGGTTCAGGGTATAGTTTGTCCGTTTGAGTTTAGGTTCAGGGTATAGTTTGTCCGTTTGAGTTTAGGTTCAGGGTATAGTTTGTCCGTTTGAG